GTCTGGTTTGTTAATAAGAGACCCTGTTTTTTTGTAGTAAACAAAAGTGTCATCTTTTAGTGGAATGACCTTGGGAAATGGCTAAATAAACTAAAACTGTTAACCCTGTTTTATATTTAGAATGTTATGCTATTCTTGAAAATTAGATGATTGTATGTTTGTGTTGTATGCAGTGTCAGGTGTTTTCTGCATTTTTAAAGAGAAGGCGTACAGTCCAGGAGATAGCTGGCATCCCTATCTGGAGCCCTTTGGATTCATGTTCTGCATGCGCTGTACTTGCACAGAAGTACGTATCCAACTTCCAAGTCTAAATAATGACTTGGAAAAAGTTTTCATATGCATTGTTTTTTTACCTAAAGGATACAGGTGATCATTCATGAATGATTTCCTATACAGTTTGTACACATGTATGCACATGTCAGATCCACATGCTATGTATATTATGTCAATGTTTCTGTCTACTTTCATGTGGGTGTATGTATAGTTTGGTCATGTGAAATGCAACAGCATCAAATGCCCTGTTCTGCAATGTGAAAATCCAGTGACTAACTCACAGCAGTGTTGCCCTCGTTGTGCAGGTAAAACATCACACTTTTCCAGGTTCCAGTGTTTATGTGAATTGATATTAATGATTCTAATACATTCTTATTTGAACCGTCTGATGGCTATTCTCATAATCACAGATGAGCACAGAACTCCTGCTGGTCTGCGGGCACCCATTGAAACCTGTAGGTATAATGGAAGCACTTACCAAACAGGGGAAACATTTGCCAACCATGAGCTCTTCCCATCCCGTCAGCCGAACCAGTGCGTCATGTGTACTTGCTCTGTAAGTATTTATTTTATTTTTTTGGTAATCTTTGTTGTTGCTTTCACCATAGTGCATCATTGAACATTGGGCTCTAACCTCAAACAGTTTAAAAATCCTTTATAGTATAGTGTTTTGAAAGATGGTGTCGGAGAGCAGGCGTAAATACAGTAGAAGGGAGTGCTAGCAATGCCAGACTTATGGGTTCCATGTATACCTCAAATGCAATGTAAGTTGTTTTGGATAAAAACCTTTGAAGATTAAGCAATTCAAGTAATAATGTCTTCTTAAAGAAATGTTTGGTTTTAGGATCATAATTTTATTTACAATAAATTATTTACTATGCAGAATTTAAAAAAGCTAGGGCTCCTTCACTCTCACTGGGGCGGTACCTTTTCAAAAGGTACATATTTGTACCTAAA